TTGAGTCCCTCCCCTCTTGGAAAGAGGGAAGGGGGCTGATGGCTCCCTGCCTCTACCATTGCCCCGAAGGGGTAAGGGGTAAGGGGTAAGGTACCGAAGGAGAGGTGCCTTTAGGAGGGTGTCCCTGTCCCCCCTCCACCATAGATCCCCCTACGGTGCAAGGTAATCTATACTTCTCAACCCTAACCTTAGTAATAGCCATCCCAACAGGTGCCAAGTTCTACAACTGGTTATTCCTGATCTACTCCCAACCTTACAACATCCTTCAATCATCCAACCTAGCTTCCTCTCCTTTATCTTTCATATTCCTAAGTATGATCATCGGTGTCACAGGTATTGTTCTAGGTAATAACACCCTCGACATCCAACCCACGAAACTATCCCAATCATCTAACCTCTCCTTTATCCCCTAATTTAGTTGGAATCTAAGAGAAGGCCACAGGTTTCAAGCTTGACAGTGAACTAAAAACCTCCACACCTACAGGTACACCTACAGGTACACGCCCTCTACCATCCCATTTACTTAAAAATAGTGTTACCAAATGAAAAGGCACTCGTAGTTTAGCTGACGACCTAAGCTATAGTTAAAGATACCCCTCCTATGTCGGGGTATGGATGGTCGGTCCCCCGGACTGCGGGGGGGGGTCCCGTCCCTTCCCTTTGAGAGTCCCTAGTCATATAGTTTCTGTGGTGGAGGTGGGTTATCCCTATTTCACTGCTAAAGTTGTCTATAATAAAAGGGTGAGACTTTTTAGCCTCCCGGTGGTTTCTGAGTAGGGTCATCCTGAAGGGGATGTAAGTTATAATATCTCGTTGTCAGAATTCTACACCTGATATCCAAAAGATCAAAGCTGGAATCGAACCAGCGTAAAAGAATTTGCAATCCTTCGCATAACCACTCTGCCATTTGATCCCCACACCTAGAGGATATTTTTTTATCTCTCTTACTCTTAGGGGGAGCAAGCTAGCCCTCTTTGCACTCTACCATGTAAGTTTTCATTTTTACGCTACTCCAGGGGTGCTACGAGGAAGAGACCCAAAAAGATGGTAGACGAGTCAAGCAAAGGTGAGAGGGTCCCTCCCCGGAACCCGGGGAGGCGGCCCTTCGGGGTTCGAAATACTAGAAGAATACTAAAGTGTCGTATGATGGTAGATCCGATGGATGGTAGAGGCAGGGCTCCCGCCTTCAGGAAGGCTCTTACATCCTTGCGGATAGCTCGTTCCTCAGCGAGCTAATTTAATATTACTTTTTCACTCCATCCACCAATTTTACTCTTACCGAAGGAAACCTCTTCCCAGTATCTAGCAGTGGAAAAGGACTTGTTTATGCTAAAATACAATTTATCGGGGGACAGTCTGTTAAGCCTTATATTCAGTATCGTGGAGCAGACCACACAGTATCAATTCCAAGGCTAGGGTAGTTTTTTATTACAATTTTGATTAGAAGGGTGAAATTGATGGTAGGTATAAGTTTACCAAAGTTAACTCTCCTTTTAAGTACTTTAAAAATGATCGGTTTTAGTTTTCATAAAACTGTACTTAAATTCATTGTAGCACCAGAGTGTAGTTAGATTTCATCTTTAACATGCTATGCTACTCTGAAGTAGGACGTATATCTATAACCATATCTGTGTACCCTACTAGACTCAGGTAGATTATAGTGTTTATAATAAGTTAGAGTGACACATATCCATACAACTGGCTACCCTCGAGCTGTGCTTACAAAAGTTGAATCACTCCTTATCTATCACCCCCATCTTACTCTTAAGGGGACCCGTAGAATACCCTCGTACCATAGATCCCGAGGGGATAGATCTTACATTTGGGGGGGGTTAGTAGCCTTTTAGTATCTTGTACCGGGAAGGGACACCTCCGAGGTACTCGAGGGCTCTCTCTGCTCTAAGTGTGTAGGAGTCCTCCACTACCCCGAAGGGACAGGATAAGATAAGATAGGACACCTCCCCGGAAGGGTCCCTCCCTTCCACTTTCTTTCTCTGACACAGTCCTAGCCCACCCCGGGTGTCTATTCTATCCGTTATGTGACTGTAGAACTCCTTATAGTTAATCTTAGGTGGGGGGAGTAGTAGTAACACAGTACCACGACTGGTCTAATTTAGTTAAAACCATCACTTGGGGGTTGGTACCAATACATAATGACTACCTCTTTGAGCGTTAAGATAGCTACCGGGTGAGTGTGTAGGCCTAAGGCCGACGGTAGAGGTGAAAGTAACACTCGCAGGTGGAGTAATTGCTCGCTTTCTTATATAGCTTTGTTGACTTGACTTTCGTTTGTACGGGTCCGGAAGTTCTCACAGTACGACTTGTAAATGTTGATCGCTAACTTCTGTATTGAACTATCGATGTCAATCTTGTATGTAGGAGGATCACCAATATTGTAGCTATCACCTCCCGCAGTTTATTTCATTAGTATAAATATTATATTATATTAAGATATCTACCCTCGGAGGCTTATTTACAATCCAATCCAAATTTTAGAATCTTCTCTCTAAAAATATATGTATATTTATTCTCTGGGTGATAAACCCTTAGATGAGATTTTATTACGGGTACACTCCATTTCATCACTTTAGAATATTATTCTCCTGAAAGAGTATATGGCTATCCACCTTTATTTGGAGGCTATGTAGATTCAATCCCATGTCGGTTGAAGAAGTAAAGTTTAGTGGTTCGAGTGCGTAAGATCTACGGGGAGCATATCTTCCCTCCGGAGGAGGTATTATGAGATAAAATAGGAGGGATATTTAATGTGTGTATGTACTGGTGGTAATATGTGTAGAGGAGTAGTGACAAGAGAAGAAAGAGGTCGGCAGTCAGCCGAAGGAGTTATCCAATGGATAGCCGGGGGGTGATATCTGAGGGTACGAAGGGGTTAAGATAACGATAGATGGTTACATAGCTATATTACAGTATAGGGAGTAGAGTCTAAGTCCTACGAGAGGTCTACCTTAGAGGTGTCATAGGGTATCGGGGTAGCTAGTAGCCTCTTAGTTAGAGTAAGTAATCTTCTAATAGATCTAAGTGTCCTTCCCTCATTCAGGTAAGTATCTACCATAGTTTATATACTCTCTCTCACCCTACCTTTGGCTCATAGAGAGCTAGTTATAGTTGGTTATTATATCCATTTACACAGATATTGATGTGCTTGTATTTATCTGCAATTATTGACATAGACCATTTATTTTACTTATAATTTACTAAACCTCATCGGACACAGTCATGATTGGGAACTATATGCATAGGTTGATTGTTAACCGGGTGGTACGCTGGGTGACTCACTATCTTGCGGTGTCTTTCTTTCCCCTGTATTAGTCTTAGACAAGGACTTAAATCCATAGCCTCACCCATACCTACTACTGGTAGTGCATTGGCCGTCTTATTTACAAGCGGATGGTTTACCAGGTCTGCCCATCGTCCACTGAAAAAGTTCCAGATCGTAGTGTCGGTCAAGAGTTAAGCGGCATCCCCGGGGGCCTGAATATCGTAGCGTAGCGGTTACAAAGTCATTGTTTTAAAAGTGAGATGAGAGATGCCTGCCTTTTTGCACACTATATAAAATAAGTCTGTATCCCGTCTAAGACATTACCACTGGGCCTAAGAGACATCCTTACTCAATCTAGTCCTCTACTACTTAAGAGATATGTGTACTACTTCACCATCACCCATACTAGGGAGATTAATTCCTCTACACCACGAGTTAACCCATCACCGATACATCAATAGTTCTAATAGGTCCAAGGGATATAATTATACACAACACCTAACGGGACTAGAATCTCACCCTTAAATTACTAATGGTACACCCTACTCATTATTAGAACATATCACTACCTCTTGGCAGAAGGCTTACATACCTAAATTTCTCTAGCAGGAATACATATCTCCACTTCCTCTTACAAACTTATGATACCCATTATCTATCCACTACAGAACCTACTTACCCTTATATTATCATTAGGTACTCCACTAATCTATAAGTATCGGAGAGGCAGGCATCCGTAGGGATGGGGATGGACCTAACATCCCGAGGGATGGTAGAACCTTCAGGAAGGATGGGTCTTATCTTACCATATTTTAGATGGTAGTGGTGGCACTCGAGGGGAGCAAGCTTCCACTTTTTATTTTAACGGGGAAGGTCTTCCTACAGTCGTGGAGGGCAGCTCCCTCGTCAGCTAGCTAATATCTTATGATATGACTTTTACTTTTTGGAGAAGATGGAACCGAACCATCTTAATTTTTTAATCATCTCTTAACTTATTACTTCTACTAGTAAATCCAAGGGTAGCCTTCTACCATTTACCCCCGGAGCTAGCTAGCTATCTTTGCACTCCTGGTCTACACGGAGTCGACGAGGGTCCCTCCAGGGAAATAACTTAAAAATTTTAGTCTTAAGCCTACTACAGTTAGATGGTAATGTTTCTACACTCTTGACGATACGACTACTTACCTATAGTTATCAGTATGATATCAAAGTGTAAGTTATATGATTTTCCCTCACCCCCAGGCGTGTGGTCGAGTTATCACGTCTACAAATGGGTGTTCTATGATGCACTTTAATAGTGTCATTTTATTTTATTCACCCCTAGTGTCATATTTCCATACTATGTGAGAGAGTTATTCCTCAGAGAGTGGGCACCTACGGTGGTAGTTCTGATGGGAGCCCATCTCATCCCTTTAGGTATAAGATAGTTAAGCTAGTAGAGGGTTATACACAGAGGGAGAGATAGACTACAATATTACGGGATTACCTAAAATGGTAGCCTCTGTTTTTGGCGGGGATGGTGTTGTCTCCCCATAAAAATTACTTTCCAAGTGGACAGAGGAATGAATATAACATAGGACAATTATTGAGTTATCACACCACACCTATCCCTATCCCTATCTATTAAGATGTAGGTGTCTAAAGATGCAAAGAGCAAATAAGTTACCCTGGGGCCGTGGTAGAAAATATCCAAGCCGGCAAACTTCAAAATTTACTATCGGTGTGAAGAATCACTTATTAACCCTTCATTAGCTAGAAAACTATATCTCTTGTACACAGCTGGTTATCTACTCTACCCATTAGTAGCCATATAGTCTCTTGTACCATATTTTATTTTTGGGTCTCTCCCTCTCCCTCTTAGGACCGTCTATCTTATCGTAAGAGTAGTCCATCGGATGAATCTCTAAAAGAGATGTGTTGTGTTTTAAAATCTAAGAAGGATGGTAGAGGCAGGGCTCCCGCCCTCAGGAAGGATGGATCTCATCTGATGTGATCTGATCTGATGTGATCTTACAGCCCTGCCCTGCCCTCCTTTCGGATTCGAACCATCAACCTTTCGATTATCAACCGACTGCTCCCTGGGGGTTCGATTCCGTGTTGACATCTCATTTATGAATGATGGGGTTCCCGAAGGAGAGTGATGATTATTTTAGGAGGGTCCCTTCCCGGGTTCCGGGGACCCGTCCTGTCCCTTCGGGGTTCCGTAGGTACTCTCTACGAGAGTGTAGGATGTCCCTGACATCCACCACCCTTATAATATAATCTAATATAATCTACTATAATCTAGCCTAGCTTAGCTTAGCTTACACGCCCTCTCTACGAGAGTAGTGGAGGAGGTAAACGTAAACGTAAACACACCTCCTCCTACACGCTCCCTCTCGAGTAGCATAGCATACCATCCCCTCTGTAGCACCCCCCCTCTAATATACTAAGAGGGTGGGGTCCAAGGGTCGTAATTGTTTTTTTTAAGATTTGCCATATGAACAAGCCATCGTTAAAGACCATCTATTGAAGTTCCTGGTGACTGAAATTGAAATAGGCCCCCCCAATATTGGGGGGCATACTCCGATAGGCGGAGATCTCTATCGGGATCGCCAATAGTTAATATGACCATTTTAGGACAAATGGTGATACCCCTGTTAAACTAAACACAAGAAATGACAGAAGGATTAAAATTTGTAGGAGCAGGATTAGCAACAATCGGATTAACAGGGGCGGGTATAGGAATTGGAACAGTTTTTGCAGCATTATTGAATGCCACATCAAGAAATCCTTCTTTAAAGCAGCAACTTTTTTCTTACGGGATTTTAGGATTTGCATTAGTCGAAGCTATTGCCCTATTTGCACTAATGGTTGTATTCTTAATTTTATTTGCATTCTAATTATAAATGGGACGGGGGTTTCTGGAGAGGTGGGGATTTTCAACTAATCACAAAGACAAAGAAATGGGCTCTGTATATAATCTATGGTGCGTTCGCAGGTATAATCGTTTAAAGTCTTTTATTAGAAGAGAGAATTACGTCAGGATAAGAAAAGAAATCGCTCTAGAGAATAAAGGTTCTAAATTGTATAACTGAGCGATAAGTAACCACAAGTATTTTAATGACAACTTGTTTAAGATACTTTTAATTTTTAATATCATTTTTATAAAGATTGTGTTACTTGATATTTTAGAAGGTAATCAAAAAATCTTATTTTTGATTGTAGCCGTATGTTTCTATTGGATATTTTTTTCTTTAGTTATTTACTTACTAATAAAAGCGATAATTGAATTATCCTTTGCGATTATAAATTGGAGAAAGTTTTTGATTAGAAACAGTCCTTTAAAATTAGGTGAATCTATCGGAGCCGTATTTGAAGCTACTCCTAGTATCGTTAGATATTTTATTGGAGCGGGGATCGCGACTGCTGGAGGCATGGTTACCTTTACAGAGGCCCATAGGACTTTAGAGCCGAATATGGCGGACGGTGACCGCCCTATTGCTAAGTCTTGGGAGTGAACCAAAAATAAAGTTGGCGAATGGAAGGGTAGTCCGGTAGATTTACCTTCATAACTTCAGGTCCCTAGCTCTATAGTGGGTGAATCTGTAACTCATCTAAGATTAAATTCCCTAGAGCGAGATTTACTTGAAGTTAAAAAAAGTGAAATAGCGTTAAAGGTGAAAAAGGCAGCTATTGAGAAAGCGATTTCATCTAATAAACCTTTTTAATATTAGAACACAAATCGGGTCCGAATAAACCTTAATTAAATGTGTCCCTTCCTATCAAGGGGGGACACTCCCCGGTCGTAGGGGGGCACTCCCAAGGGGGAAGCACTCGAGAGGGAGGACTCCCTCGAGTCCCGTCCCTGAGGACAGTGATGTACTTCTCTGAATTCAAGAAGGAACACTCTAAAGACCGATGGCTCAATTTGGTAGAGCGTAGCGGGAACGCTTTAATTAATGGTTCAAATCCATTTCAGCCTATATTCTATAAAGAGGATAACCCGGTTAGGTGGAGGGTCGTGGATGTCAGGGACATCCTATGTGAACAGGTACACCTACACGCCCTCCCGAGAGGATACTATGGAGATAGCTATAGCCAAAAAAAGAGATGGTACAAGAGACTATGTAAGATGAGATCCATCCCTCGGGAGACCCTCGGTGGGCGAGCCCTTCACCAAGTAGAGCTTTACCCTATCGGGTCTTATTACATAAACCTTTACCTTACTCACGTCACCCCAGTACTGCTCTTCATAATACTGGACGCTCTGCTATTTTTTAACTAACAGACATTCTAACTCGAGTAAGGAGGTTAAAATTTTTATGAATAGGACGCACTTTTAGCCGTCACTTATGTCTATCCAGATCCGCCTCGGGGTGTGTCTGTTTAAAAGCGAGTGTGGAAGGATCTAGATAACCATGGAATAAAGTCGTTCGAACTCAGGAGAGGGAGTAACTGTTTATCGAGGTAGTAGATAATAACCTCAGACATGTAGATACGAGGGGTGTCCATAAACTTATCTGGGTAGTAGGCTACAACCCTCGGGGGTCTTAGGGACCCCTCCTACCTCTTGTGGTTATATCTCTCCCATCTCAACTACTACCCCAGATCTAGACATTTTATCCATGAGAAACGCATAGTCAGAGGAGAGAAGAGTTGATACAATTGGGTTAGATGATCCCCGCGGGGATAAGGTGTCCCTACGGGATAATACACATGTTTATCACTTCATAACCCTTGATCTATCACAGTCTAGCATAGACTATGCCTAGAGTCCCCATCCTCACTCCGCTAAACATACGTTAACACTCTCTACTGAACCAATATACCTAATTGAGACTTTTTTAAAATTCTTACCTTATTTAACTACTGACTGAAGACATTACCTAAAAAAGGGTGGGGAAGAAGTTCAATTTTTCCGTACAACCTATCATGTAAATTGCTGATCCCACAGAGATTTTTATTTTTTTCCAGAGTGAAAATTAATCTTACAGCTAGTAACAACCCCGGGATCTTATAAGGTTATTGGGTCAACTTACTATTCTGGGTTATCTAACGAGTGATTGCAAAAGTCTACAAGGATCGTGGATGGTGGGTGCTCCCTGACGGACTCCCGTAGAGAGCACCACGGTGGAGGGTCCTATTGGGATTAGTGAATACGTACAAGACTATACCGATAGGGTGCTATGTGTCTGCAATAATATCAGGTGTGTGGACTCAAGACAAACGAGGATAGTCCCACGGGTAGTGAAGTCAAGTTTTAAAACTTCGTTCCATTCACTATGCGGAGTCTGCCTTGTTGCATGATACCATCTGGGTACTACACAGAAAGTCTCTAGAGTCACTGCCACACAATACCGAACTCACAGAAACAGTAAATGATTTTTAGAGTGCTTTGCCCAGGTATCTCACCGATCGATTCTTGCTCAAGGTCAGTTTTTGGGTAGCTCCACTTAAATTTTGTCTTGGTCATCCACTCTAGTTTATTTGGACAGAGAGATTTGTACGCGCGAGGATATGGGTTTACTTTCACCAGGTGATTGAGTGACGATAATTATACCGTTAAGTCATAGCTGTTCATCTTTGGTAGCATTACAGTGAAGATAAGATTTAAAGCAGTAGGATAGATTGAGAAAGGTTACTGCAGTGTTGAGATCCAAATCCATTCTCATAGTGTCGGCTCCTATGACACTAAACTTGCTGGCTACTCTATTTGTACTCTTGCTTGCATTACCCTGAGGTAGAGGTGCCTGTTGACTCAAGTCTTAGGTCTTAGGTCTCTGCACTTCTTCATCAAAGTCCTTGCTTCCATGGGATTGCGGCTTATCACAGTGGCAGTCGCTATCGTAGGTTTTGTAAGCCATGCGAGAATGCATATGACTAATAACTCAAGGGATGTCGAGGATATGCTAGTACACAAATTCACAGCGACCATGGCAGCAAATTACTGTGGATCGTACCTGACAACTAGGAATAAAAGTGGTGCACTTGTCTTGTAAGCGATGCGAAGGCAAGGCGGAATTTGGAGAAAGCAGGTAATCCATCTGCGGGTACAAGGTCACGGCTAGTAGTTCGGGCTGCCAACCTACAGCCTACGGTCCCACCTGTGCCTACTCGCTCACCGACAATATTGATGGCAGCTCTACCACTTCGCGCTCCTGGTACACGTAGCGGTAGATAGCAAACCTACCGCCTAATGAGTAAATGGTTGCAGTCGCTACCGTAGGTTCTCTAAGCCATGCGAGAATGCATCCACCATTACA